AAAGAAAAACATCAAGAGAACCCCTGTTACAATTTGGAAAGTTTTGTTTTTAAACAGTCTATGCAAACGAAAGCCTATATTGTTAAAAAAAAAAAAATCACATATTTTTGAGTTGTTATTTTCCAGAGTGAGGGTAAAAAGAATGAGACACAATTTCCCTTGAGAGACCCAGGCTCAAAAAGATGAACGAAGAAGACAATTTGTTGTGTAGTACGCTCAATCCTAAACATTTCATATTTAACCTATTTAACCCTCACAACTACTTTGAGATACGATCTATTATTTTCTCCATTCCACACTTGAGAAAGAGAGTTAATTGACACGCTGAAGTCCCAGAGTCGGTAACTAGAGGATAGAGATGTGGATCCAGGCAGCGAGACTCCAGAGCCCCTGATGCACGATGTTGCCAGAAAGCCGTGGTTCGACTCGCTTCCTCCAGTCACTAATAAACGCACCCCAAGTGAGTCAAGAGAAACTACTGTGAGAGACCGCTGCTGGGAGGACGAAAGGGTGTAGGGCAGCCACACGCCGGGGTCACCAGGAAGCATGGAAGCGGGCCCCTCTCGCGCCCCGACCCCAGGCTCCTTCTGCCGCCACCCAGACACGGAGCGGGCCAGGCTGCGCTCACACGGCCCACGGTGACCGCCCGGGGACCCCGGGAATCGGGAAAGAGAGTGGACATGGGGAACCTGTCTTCCAGCCCACCCGCCACCCACCGCCGGCCTGAGTTGCCTAAGCGAAGACAGAGAAGATGTGGCGACCCCAAGCCGTCTCTTCAACTCACCCCGCCCGGCCGGGCCGCAGCAGTACAACCAGGAGTGATTGCGCCTGCGCGGCCACTGGGAGCCGGCAGAGGCGGAGCCTGGCGTCCGGGTTGTCCCGCCCGGGGTGGGGGGGACGTCGAAAGGACGAGAGAGGTGGAGGGGCGGGGCCGGCTCGGGTCGCGCCTGCGTTCAGTACCTCCGCAGAGCTGCTTGGACACGAGACGGGCTAGGAGGGAGTAACGCAGGACTTTCCCACCCGAGTCCCGTATTTGCCGGTCGCCTTTTGGGACAGTCCCTGACTTCCCTCCATCACCCTTCTTTGAACTGTAAAGCTGTCATTCATCATATATCATTTTACGATTTTTTTTTTTAAATGACTGTACTGGAACCTGTGTTCTTGCTTTCTGGCTAGACCGTACGTTTCTTGACCTACACCTATACTTTTCTTCAAAGCTGGATTATCTATTAAAGTGGTCCTCATCTTGCACGTTTAATAAAGTAGTTGGTTTGATAATGTTTAATAGATGTTGCAAAAGTTAACATTGGTTGATAGGCTATAGAAATCGCCTTTCACAAGGACAGGTGGGGACTAATGGATAATTTGGGGTTAGAATTTTTTTTTTTTACACAATACCTTTATTTTATTTATTTTTATGTGGTGCCGGGGATCAGTGGTAGAGCACATGCTAAGCGCTCTACCACTGAGCCACAACCCCAGCCCTTGAGGTTAGAAATTTTAAAATACCACAGAGTTAGGCCACAAAAGTATGATTTTACTTTAAAACTCTATTTTTTCTCATTTCCATGTGAAAACTTGGCAAAAGCGGTTGCTGTTTTCCAAATAAGAAAGAGGTTGTGTTGTGGTGTAATTTTGAAGCAAAACTGTCTACTTCATAAATCAATATTTTCATTTTTTGAAATTGGGTTCGACCTAGAACATAGAAAAAAAGACATGCAAACTTGAGCAAATCTAAATAATCTGCATCCTAAATTTCATTGCAATTTTTTTTCTGTATCAATTGGAACCAATTTATAGTAAAAAAGGAATAGAATTAGAATATGAAAATTTAGGTTCTCTTCCTAAGAAAAAGAAATTTAGGAATCATGTAAACCATCATATAATTCTTAAATTTTTCTTGAAATAAAATTTGGAAGCTCTCTTGATTTTCAGATGTACCATTAGCATGACCTTCAGAGACTGCAACCTCCATGCAACTTGGCAAGAGTTAAAAATTATCTGCATTAGTTTTTATTTCTGATGTTCTTTAAATTATATATCTTTTCATTTAATTGAAGTAAAATTCACTATTTTGTGGATTCCTCAAAGAAATCATTTGTAAATGTTACATTTGTAAATAGTACTAAAAATATACCTTTGTAAAGGTATATTTTTAGTACTATTACAATGACATGTCAAAAGGTCAAATAAAAATACTAGTCACTTAATATCAGCAGATTATTATTATTATTATTATTATTATTTTGTATTTTTGCAGTACTGAGGATAGAACACAGGGGTGCTCTGTCACTGAGCTGTGTCCCCAGCACTTTTATTTTGAGACAGGGTCCCACTGAGTTCCCCAGGCTGGCCTCAACCTTGAAATCCTGCCTCAGTCTTCTGAGTATCTGGGATTACATGTCATGTGTATTTTTTGAATAATGCTAAACATCTTAGTTTTACCATTCTTGTTCTGTCTGTAAATGTGTGAAATACTTTCTAAGTTACAGGCCATCTCTCTCTCTCTGTCTCCTCAAGGGAGATGGAACCCAGGGGCACCCTACTGAACTATATCCCCAGTCCTTTTAATTTTTTATTTTAAGACAGGGTCCTTCTAAGTTGCCCAGGCTGGCCTTGGACTTGCAATCTTCCTGCCTCTGTGTCCCAAGTTGCTGGGATTATAGGTATGTACCACCACGCCCAGCACATTCTTTATTGCAAAAATAATACATGCTATTTTAACCAAGTATAAAGTTCTGCATCTTTTCCTTCCTACACTCCCGTTTCCTCTCTTAAGAGGTAATATATTTCCTTTCTTCTGTACTATGTTCTGTATAGTTTCAAAAGCTTTCTTTGTGTTTACAATATATATTTGTATCATATTTTTCTATGACAACCTTTTGTGGAAAGAGAATACATCCAGATTACAGTCTACATCTGTTCTACAACTTGATTTTTTTTTTTTCACTTGACAATATACATTGGACAGAATTCTACATTAGCCACATTCTTTTGACTAGTTGCTTAGGACTCTAGTGCATGGGTGTATCATTTTATTTGAATCAGTCCCTTGCTTGTGTACATGTATCTTTGCCGACTGTGGAAATGTTTTCACTAGATAAGCTATTAGTAGTGGAAATGCTGAGTCAAAACATATTCGCTTTAAGTTTTGGTAAATATTCTTTTGAAAAAGTCACATGAAAGGCTATACATCTTCTAATTCTTAATTTTATTTGTTATAAGGGGCTTGAGTAAATTTAGGGAAAAAATAGGAAAAAACCCAAGTCTCTTAAAAATCCCTTCCATTTCAATAGCCTTTCACTTGCACACATTAAGACAAAAAATGAGTTTGAGAATTAATGATTCATAACAATTCAGCATTAGAGAACTTAAAACTACTTCTCTCCCTTTAATCCCACTTTAAACCTGAAAAAATAACTGAGACTTGTAGGGGAGGGAGATTAACAAAATTCTCTCTTGACAAGGTCTTTTTGCTCTAAGGACTCTTAAATAAGCCAGGTTTGGACTGTGGTACATATAGGGCATATTAATCTTTCAAAAAAATATATATAGAAAAATATTTATCAATTATTTATGGACCCTGAAAAAGAATTGTTTAGTAGTATTTCTCTTGCAAAAGCATAAATCAGATTAAATTGACTCATTGAGGCCAAGTACACTGTTTCCATATCATGTGTTCACACTACCCGTGGTTTGTGAGAAATAGTCACATTAGGGATGCTACAAACACATGCATCCACAGTATATGAGGACATCTTAGTTCAAAGTTAGTTCACAAAATAAATTCCACAGACTATGGTTTTAGAAAAACATAACTGTGAATGAAATCATGAATATAAAAATGTGGTTTATTAATTATTGAATTATTGAAAACTGAATAAAAGGGCATGCTTAATGAAATAATTCCTTGGACATACATTTTAATGTTACTTAGAATTAATATCTTGTCTTTAAATTATGAATCAATTTTCAGGTAAATATAGCTTTTTATTATGCTTGGGAACTAAACTGAGAATAAACTTAAGGTAATGAGAAACGTCCCCACCTACTCCAAAGATGTCCATGTTCTAATCCCTGGAAACTGTGACAGTGTAAAAGAGAATTTACAGACATTATTAAAGTATCTTGTAAGAGGGAGATTATCTTGCATTATGTCATTGTCAGAATGTAAAGGTCCTTATAAGAGAGAGACATGAAGGTCAGAGGAAGAAGAGATTTGACAACAGAAGCAGGAATCAGAGAGAGATTTAAAGGTCCTATGATGCTGGCTTTGAAGATGGTGAAGGATCATGAACCAAGGAATGAGGCATCCACTAGAAGACAGAAAAGGCAGGAAGTTCTTCCCTAGAGTCTTCCAAAGGAATGCAGGCTTGTGGACACATTGATTTTATCTAAGTGTGACTACTGATCTCCAGAACTGTACATAATAAATTTGTGTTTAGAACCAGTAAATTTGTAGTAATTTGTCATTGTAGCAACGTGAACTGTTATACTTTACAAAGTTGAACCTAACCCTGACAAAGCTATGATCATATATAGTCAGATATCACCAATACTTGGGGGGGGGGAGATAACACTATGAGATTATTTTAATACTGACCTCAGCTAAACAAGGTATTTAAGTTAAGAAAAATTAGGAAAAAATTCATGTAGTCTGTTTTAAATTAATCCAATGTATGAAAAATCATGTTATAAGTTGCAGTTTATTTACTTTAAATCTTTATATTTAAGCTTTGTCATATTTTTCTACTTTCCACTTTTAAACTATTTTTCATTTAAAAAAAAGAAAAGAAAAGCAAAAACAAAAAAGAAAGCATAAAACTTAGTTTCTTTTCAAATGATTTAAAGCGGCTCGGTTAGGTCAGCGATTACGCCTTCCGGCACTACTGCGTTCTGCCGGCCGTTGGCTGGAGGGCGCTCGAGAGCCGGGAGGGGCGCGCCTGGGGCGGGAGGGGGCGACGAAAGGAGGAGGAAGTGGTCAGCAGCGCGGCGGGCGCCAGCGGGAGAGGATGCTGCCCTGGCTGCTGTTCCGGACTGCGCGCAGGGCTGTCCTCGGGTCCGTGGAGACTGAGCTCTGCGGTGAGCTTGACCCCTGGAAAAAGGGAGAACTCCTAATTTTGGATGTCAGGGAAGGATGGCATTAACGAGGGTACTCGATTCTTTAGACTTTTGCCATTATTACTCTTTGGCAAATCTGGGTATGTGGCACCCACTAGCACTTCTTGTGCCTTCAGATCCAAGCCTATGCGGGCCTGGAACTGCTCAGGGAACTCGGGGAGACGGGTAAACATGGCACCAGGATGCTAGTCGGGAGGGCATTTATAATGGTAGAGTTACTTGTTTGATCAATGAAGGTTAATTCGCGACCCAAAGGAGCCAGCAAGATGGCCAGTCCCAGCCTTGCAAGTTACAGGTTGTGACCCACTAAAGAGCAGCGCTCATTGCTGGATGAAACAGCCACCCAGGATTATGACGTATTAAAATTATAAAAATACCTCCCTGGTCGTAGATACAGAAGCAGAAGACATTGAAGGTGGTTAGTGGAGGGGTTGGGTCCAGAACTCAGAGCAGGACTTGAGTCCATTTTTTTCGTTTTTGCTTTACATACTGCCTCTCCTTCAGCATCAACTTTTATCTGGGGATACAGCTGCAGGGGCCCAACGTAACACTGCCCTCCCACTCCTTCTTAACATTCTCTGGAGTTTAAGATGCACTTTTCTAAGCAAATTGTTGTTTCCTTTTACCTTTATTCAGCAATCATTTATTGAGCCCCTAATCTCCCAGGCCTTCTGCTGGGGACACAGCCTCTGCAGCTCAGGAGTTCACCATTTCTGAGAGAAACAGACATAAGTAAACAATCATCATATACCGCCCACCCTAGTTAAACTGCTATGGAAAGAACAAATCTACCCATGTTGGAGAAAATATTAGAGTCTTTTTCATTTAAAAAAATGCTAAATATTATGATTATATTCTCATTTAAACAAACCAAAAAAAAGTACAGTGTAAGTCCCTCTTTATACATCCCCCTATCCTAATCGCCGCCTCAGATCCTTCTAAACACTTTTTTTTTTTGGTGGTGCTGGGATTGAACCCAGGGACTTGTGCGTGCAAGGCAAGCACTCTACTAACTGAGCTATAGCCCCAGACCCCTTCTAAACATTTTTTGATCAGTAGACGTAAAGGTACATATCACATATGAAATTATGTAAATGGGATTTGTACATACTTTTCTGTAATTTTGTCTCATTTAGGTATTCAGAAGTTTTTAAATGCTGCATATATTCCATAGTATGGATATACTTAGTTTACTTAACCATTTATTGATGAATATTGTGATTTCCAGTGCTTTGCTAGCATATAAATAATTCTTAAGTAATTATCATTGTGCCTGCCACTTTGTGTATATGAACAAGTGCTTTACTAGAATAGATACCTAGAAGTAGAATTGTGAGGTGATGAACAACATTTAATTGGGTCTTAAGAGAGGAAGAGTGTTCCATGTAGAAATGAGGGAAAAAAATAACCCCTTAAGAAATAACAGTGTGTGTAAATCCTGAAGGAAAAGCAAAAATAAGCATTTATTTTGTTTGTCCTGTGTGTATTATCTTTTTGTCACTATGACCAATATACTTGACAAGAACAACTTAGAGTAGGAAAAGTTTATTTTGGCTTCTGGTTTCAGAGGTCTCAGTCCATGGTCTGCTGGCTTCCTTGCTCTAGGCCAGATGTTAGGCAGAACATAATGGCAGAAGGGCTTGGTGGAGGAAAACTGTTCAGCTCTTCTTTCCTAGAAGCAGAGAAAGAGCCAGAGAGGAGCCAGAGACAAACTACAATCCCTAAGGGGACTCTTCCAGTGACCTACTTTCTCCAGTCACACCCTACCTGCTTACATTTATCACCCAGTAGCCTATTTAAGTTATGAATCCATTATATGGATTAATCCACTAATCAGTTTACAGCTCATAATCTGTTCATTTCATAATCTTATCTATTTCATTTCACGTATGAACATTCCTGCATTGCCACAAGAGCTTTTGGGGGGAGACATCTCATATGGAAACTATAACACATCCTGAATATACATTCACTTCATTTAAATCTCACAACAACTTGTTGAAGGGCATCATAGACTATATTAAGGAGCTTAGTCTGCATACTGTAATGTTCACTATAAGGAGTATCCAGGTGAAATTAGATTGTACCGGTGTGAAAACAGCAAAATTATAAATTATTCAAAGTTTAGGCTAAAAAGGTAAACGTCAGATATAGTCAGTATTACTTTTTTTTTTTTTTTGGTGGTGGGATAGGGGAACAAACCCAGGGACTTGAGCATGCTAAGTACACACTCTACCTGGACCCTTTAGTATTACTCTTAAAAATCCCTCAAGAACCACATATCACTTCTTGGCAAATCCCAAACTGCCAGTGTTTCTTCAGTGTAGGAAGAGATCAGTGTTTCTTGGTTGAATAATAGGTCAAGTGGTTGATTTACAAGTACAGGATATGTTGTACAAAACAAAACCCCCAAAATATTGGTTCACTGATTTAAGTGACTACTGTTGAGTAGAGGCTTATACCATGAGAGGCTTGGGGGAGCTGAGACTCATGATGGGAACATGCTTGCGTTAGGCTTTTGCTCACTGAGTGGAATTGGCAGGAAATCCAGTCTCCAATGATTATTTCCTCCTTCCACTGCCTTCCCACAGGTATAAAGCTGAATTATAGAAAATGAAATGTCAGTTTAATGACTCTACAAGAAAAACATAACTGATCTTATTCACAAGTTATTTCATGTGAATGTTTCCCAATAGCTAAATACCAAAATTGAGTTAAACGTAATTTATAAAATTAGCATAGTTTTCAGGATGAATCTAACTAATGTGTATAACTATAAAGCTCTTCTAAACAAAATAGCATAGTTTTCTACTTCCTAAAAATAAACAGTAGAAAAAGTATAAATTCAGCCTGCCAATTCACAAAACAGATAGTTGAATGAGAAGTAATTTGATTCCAGGTGTTTTTAGATCTAATTTTGCAGACAAAAATGAACCAAATTTTAAAAATGTAAAGATAGGAAACATGTATTTTTAAAACTTATTTACTGTGTTAAAATACATATAAAATATGCCATTTTAACTTTTTTTGTACCAAGGATTTAACTCAGGGACACCCACTGAGCCACATCCTTACCCCTTTTTATTTATTCATTTTTTTTTTAGACACGGTCTCATTAAATTGCCTAGGGCCTTGCTAAATTGGTGAGGCTGGCTTTGAATTTGTGATGCTCCTTCCTCAGCCTCCTGAGCTTCTGAGAAAACAGGGATGTACCACTGGACCTGGCTTAACCACTTTTGAGTGTACAATTTGGTAGTATTAATTACATCCACAATATTGTACCACATCACCACTTTCTATTTTTCTTTTTTGTGGTGATGGGGATGGAGCCCAGGACCTAGTTCATGCTAGGCGAGTACTCTGCCCCTGAGCTCAGCCCTGCCCCACCATCACCATTTTCTATTTCCAGAATTTTATCATGGCAAACAGAAATTTTGTTCTAGGAAGCAATAACATCCTTATCCTTCCCCCTCCAACTCCTGGTAGCCTTCAACTAGTGTCTTTGAATTTGTCTATGAATATATTTTCATATAAATGAAATAATATATTTGTCCTTTTGTGTCTGGACTGTTTCACTGGGTAACTTCATTCCTTCTTAATGGCTGAATAATATCCCATTATATGTATATGCCACATTTTATTTGCCCATTTGTTCATGAACACTCAGGTTGTTTCCATCTTTGGCTATTGTGCATAATGCTATGAGCATTCATGTTCAAGTAATTGAGTCTCTGTCTTCTATTTTTTAGTATATAGTTAGGAATGGAATTAATAGAAACCTGTGAATTTTGTTTGTTTGGTTTTATGATAATGAAGATTGAACCCAGAGTCTCACGCATGCTAGGCAAGCATTGGGTACTGAGCTATGTTCCCAGTCTTTTATTTTGAGACAGGTTCTTGCTAATTGCCCAGGCTGGCGTCATATTTACAATCCTCCTAGCTCAGGATCCCAAGTAGCTGGGATTATAGGCATGCACCATCTCACCTGGCCTGAAAACCTGTATTTTAAAACAATTATAGATATCTGTCCTTTTTTCCATCACTTTGCCATCCAGAATGTCAAAGAAAATGGAGACGTGTCTGGTATTTACAGACACCTTTTTGGCAACTTACTTTTGGCTTTTCTTAACTACTGTAATAGAACTGTTAAGCATCCTTTTGGCTTCTGGAAAAAAAAAAAAAAAAAAATCCCAAGACATTAAAGGCATTGTGAACTAAGAAAGTTTGGGAACCTGAAGTTTACCCACAGTTTTCCAACTAGTTTTTTTCCATTTAATTCTATATTTTGGGCAATTTACATTAATATACCATTGTAGAATGTACCAGTTGTAATATAACAATTTCCTTATAGATGGATGTCTAACTTATTTCTACTTTTTCAACATTATATAGAGTTATGCCAATGAACATATTTAAACATATCTCCATTTGTGTTTATTCATACTAATATTAAGATCAATTCCTAAAAGTAAGATCATGGGGCAAAAAAGATGCAAACTTTAAATGTTATTACTGCTAAATTTCCCTTCAAAAGTTTGTTAACATTATATACTACTAATAACGTCTGAGAGTATTCAGTTCCTCACACCCTCACCAATACTGCATATTATCAGCCCTCTTACTTTTTTATGAGCCTGATACAATTACAAAGTTTCCTTGATTAGTAGTGCAGTTAGACAGTTTTTCTCATTTCATTGGCCATTTGTATTTCTCATGTCAATTCCCTGTTCACTTTATTTTCACCATTTTTCTATTGATTTTTGTCCTTTTCTTAGGTATTTTTGTGTGAGCTCATTAATTTGTCCTTTTTTTAAAAAATCTTTTCTGGGGTTTTGTGTTTGTTTTGATATTGGGGAATGACCCAGGGGTCCTTTACCACTGACCTACATCTTCAGTCCTTTTTAATTTTCTTTTGAGACAGGGTCCCACTAAGTTGCTTAGGGCCTTGCTGAGTTGCTGAGATTTTAGGTGTGGGTCACCATGTCTAGCATTTTTTATCTTTGCTATGTTACAGATATTTTCTTCCTGCCTGCCTCTTGTTTCAAATTCTTTGTACTTTCCCATATGTAAATTTAGCATTTTTGTTAGGACAAATCTTTATGATTTCTGATCTTTGTGTCATGTTTGGAATGGCCTTCCTGTCCCAATATTTAAATTATTCATAGATGCCAGCATGGTGGCACACACTTGTAATCCCATCCACCCAGAAGACTGAGGCAGGAGGATTGCAAATTCGAGGCCAGCATGGGCAATCTAATAAGTTCCTGTTTTAAAATAAAAAATGAAAAGTACTGGGGATGTACCTCAATGGTAAAACAACCCTGGGTTCAATCCCCCCAATAAATTATTCATTCTTGTCTTCAATTAGTATTTCTAAGATATTAGCTTATAGATACAAAAGGAATGAGATAATAGGTTGCTTAAAGTTTTCTCCTAGTTAGTTGTCCTACATATTTATTAAATAAAATATCATTTCCCTGTTAATTTGAAATATCACTGTTCACAAATACAGAATTCTCAGTAAGTTATATTGTGGGTCTCTTTCTGGACTTAGAACTTCACACTTTTTTCCTATGCCAGGTCTATAATATTTAAATCAATTTCACTTTATATTTAACACTTAAAATTTGAATCATTATTTCTTCTACCCATAAAGCATTATTTACCTTTCTTATAAATAGTCAGTTTTTGTGAAATACAAATATTAACAATATCTTGGTTGTTTTATTTTTAAAATATTTTTTAAACCTATACAAAAGGTTGTAGACAGACACAATACCTTTATTTTATTTATTTGTTTATATTTGGTGCTGAGGATCAAACACAGTGCCTCACACATGCAAGGCAAGTGCTCTACCAACTGAGCTACAACCCGAGCCCTAAAAGACCCATACAAAAGTTGGAAAAATAAAACAGTTGTTCCCTTTATTCTTACCCAACTTCTCCTAATGTAATCATCTAATAGTATAGTTACTAAAATCAGGAAATTGATATTTACAAAAATACTAATTCACAGACCTTATTTGAATTTCATCATTTTCCCATTTATATTCTTTTTTTTTTTTTAAGTACTAGATTTGAACCTAGGAGTGCTTCACCACTAAGCTATATGCCTAGCCCTTCTTTTTTTGAGACAGGTTCTTACTAAGTCACTGAGGGCCTCACTAAATTGCTGAGGCTGACCTCAAATTTGACAATCCTCCTGCTTCGGCTTCTCATGTTGCTGGGATTACAGGCATGTGCCACTGCACCTAGTCATTTTTATAGTCCCAGTCCAATTCAGGATTTACATTACATTGTAATGTTTTCTTAGCCTCCTCCCATCTGTGATGGTTCCACAGTCTTTGTCAGGATAGTGACACTTTTTAAGAGTACTGGTTATTTTGTAAACCAAGTTTGTTCTGATTAGACTCTAGGCATGCATTTTTGGCAAGAATACTAAGGAAATGATGCTGTGCTCTTTTCAGTGCATCATGTGAGTTCAAGGAAGTGCCTGTTTTCAACAAGGCTTATTACTAATGAACTTGTCTTTGAATAACTGATGACAGTGGGATCTTTCAACTCTTCCCTTTATAACTAGCATGTATCTTATGGGGAGATATTATTCTATTTCTCATCATACTTTCACCCAGTAAGTCTTGTATTCATCAGTGTTTTTTACCTGCAACAAACATTACTGGAGCATCTGTAGTGATTTTCTATTTCCATTATTCATTCTACTTTTGTCAGTTGGAATTCTAATATATGATCATTCCTTCTCCTGATTTATTTAAATATACTTATATCAATGTGGACTACCACATGATATGAGTTACTGTTCAATACCATTATATTACTATTTACTTAGCAGTAGCAGTACCATCAGATATCTACAAGTGTAGTTTAAAATGTACAGTCCTTAGGGGTTGGGTTTGTGGCTCAGTGGTAGAGAACTTACCTAGCATGTGTGAGGCACTGGGTTCGATTCTCAGAACCACATATTTAATAAATAAATAAAAGATCCATTGACAACTAAACAATATTTTTTAAAAAATGTACTGTCCTTACATCTAATATATTTGCTTACAAAGGGAAATGAGATTAAAATTCTTTTAATATTGTAACTTGGATTAGAATAAGATTTTCAAGTTACTTCCATAATTCAGTTACCAAAAGCTGCAGGTGTATTTATAAGCTCCTGCCAATTGAAGGGCTTGGAGAGAGAATACGGAGAGAAAATGCTAGCATCAAGCATTCAGGGAAAAGGAGAGCTGCATCCTGCCGCTCAGAGATAGGATGAAAGCATTAAGTGTAAAAATTATTTTTCTATATTCTGCTCACAACACTTTTACCACCAAACATAGATTTTTCTATACCAAGCAATTCTTCAACTCCCTGTGGAGCAACTGGGTATCTTACAACTTAATTCTGAACTAACTACCCAAAGATACTGAAAACACAATAGATTAACGACTCAGTCCCACAACACTGCTCTCACTTCAGACGAAGTGGCAATTAAAGGCCTCCCACAGTTGTGACAACTGGCTATAAATGAAGGATTCCCACTACCCCTTCTCAGATTGAGTAATTTGCTTGAATGGATCAGCAAACTCAGGGAAACACATTTATCTATTTATTTTAGATACTATAATAAAAGGTACAGGTGGATAGCCAGATAAAGAGGTACTTAGTATGATTAGTAGCTCTATGCATAGAACCAGAGTGAAAGACCAAATATTAGAACAAAAGATGCTTCTAGCACTATCATTCAGGAAATTATAAGGGTTTTAGGAAGCAGGAGCAGAAAGCAAATAATGTATTTATTACATTACAATTCAAAATGAATAGTTTTGTTTTTTTTTTTTAAAGAAAAAACATCAACTATAGTTAGATGACTGACAGTAGGGAGGAAACATTTAAGCTACTCTTTCTGGCTGTTAATAGTTATGTTACTTTAATACTTTTTTTTTTTTGTATTGGGGATTGAACTCAGGGGTACTCCACCAGTGAGCCACATCTCCAGCCCTATTTAGTATTTTATTTAGAGTCAGGGTCTCACTGAGTTGCTCACACCTCACTTTTACTGAGGCTGGCTTTGAATTCATGATCTTCCTGCCTCAGCCTCCCTAGCCGCTGGGATTATGGGAATGCACCACTGTGCTTAGCATGATGTTACTTTAAAATTGCCCAAATTATTTTATTTTTTTTTCCAGATTTGAAGTCAATAAAGGAAAGCTGCCACAATTTTTGTACTGCTACTTCTAAGGCTGTCACTTATAAGGAACTCAAAAACCTGTTGAATTCCAAAAACATTATGCTAATTGATGTCAGAGAGACATGGGAAATACTTGAATATGGAAAAATCCCAGGATCTGTCAATATACCATGTAAGTGATATGTGTCTTTAAGAAATATATTTTCTCAATAACTCTGTATCAAAAATTGAAATTCTTCACATATTTTCCCCAGTGAATGAGGTAAGTGAAGCTCTCCAGATGAACCCAAGAGACTTCAAAGAGAAGTACCATGAAGTAAAGCCATCCAAATCCGACAGTCTAGTGTTTTCTTGTTTAGCCGGAAGGAGAAGCAAAAAGGCTCTGGACACAGCAATATCTCTGGGCTTTCACAGGTGAGTAAAATGAAGGAAGAAATAGATTCAAGAATGTATATTGTGCCAGGTGTGGTGGCACATGTCTCTAATCCCAGCGGCTCAGGAGGCTGAGGCAAGAGGATTATGAGTTCAAAGCCAGCCTCAGCAATGGCGAGGTGCTAAACAACTCAGTGAGATCCTACCTCTAAATAAAAAACAAAACAGGGCTGGGGGTGTGGCTCAGTGGATGAGTGCCCCTGAGTTCAATCCCTGGTACACACACACACAAAAAAAAACCCTCAACATACTGCAATGTTTCATACACATTTATTGAAACAGACACTTTGAGGAGTAGATCAATGTTCTAGATAAGTGCCTAGCATGCATAGGCCCTGCATTTGATCCCCTAGCATCAAACAAATTCTTTTTCCTTATAATTACTGTCAGTAAGTGCAGGATAGCAAGATAAAGAGCCTCTATCTTTTCATCTTACTCAAAAGTGACACAATTTTTTAAATAGTCTGGAGAGTCTAATATGAGTTCCATTACATTATTTCTGAAATTTCTATCAAACCCTGTTATAAAACAAGAGAGAATATTCACTCTTTGCTGTGTTTTCAGGGCTCAACACTATGCTGGAGGATGGAAGGAATGGGAAACCTATGAATTTTCAGAAAACAAAAAAGGAAATTGAGTTTTGGAATACAAATTGGCTGTTTCCTTGTGTACCTGCAACCTGGAGTACTTCAATGAGCAAAAGAAAAATGTATTTCTGGAAGCAGTTGGTTAATTCTAAGGGGATTATATATATCAACAACTTGTGCAGTCTTTTTCTCATCTGTAAATTGAGAATACCACTCCCCCCATCCACTTTCAAGGGCTACTGAGGATTAAGAATAATGTATATGACTTGCCATGGAAATATGAGTTTGGATTCTAGAAGTTAATTTTTACTAATTCAGGATAGTTCAATATTATTCTAAAAGACCAAGTTACCTGTATTAGACATTACATACCTGTACTGCATGTGACTATTAATGTTAGTATAACTTTTTTTCATCAGAGAAGCTTTAAACTAAAATACTACATTAAGAGGCAGATTTGACCTTAACAACAACAAAAAAGAATCTGGGGTCAATTTGGGTATGGTGGTACATGGTCTATAATCCCAGCTACTGGGGGTGCTGAGGCAGGTAGATCCCAAATTCAAGGCCAGCATAGGCTGTTTAGCTAGACCTTACTTTAAAATAAAATTAAAAAAAAAAAAAAAAGGCTGCAGACATAGCTCAGTGGTAGGGTAACTTATCTGGAATGTGAGAGGCCTTCGATTTGGTCCCTAGAACCACATAAAAGGCGGGGAGAAAAAAACAAATGTAGATAAGCAGGTAAAATATGAATAATGAAAATGTCAGTAACACCCAGCAACTCATAGTAGTGTTATAATTTGCCATTTAAAAATTAATGATTAATATGGGGATAAAAATCAAAACAGTGATTACTTCTGTGGAGGGTAGATTTAACTGGAAAAGGCAAGGAATGAACTTCCAAGGGTGACAGAAATGTTCTGTACCTCGACTGAGGTACTGTATACATAGGTATAAGTATATGTGTTTGACAAAACTCATTGAAGCAAGGACAAAAATGTGTTTTTCTATTAGTAATTATACTTAAAAAATAATGAAAATATATAAAAATGTCTAAATATAAGTGACTCCCAACACCATGGGTGTATATCTTTGGAATATTAAGTCCTATACTTGTTAGGTGCTAGTGCACTGATGGCAAATAAACCTGCTTTCTTATTTATGCCGCTTCTGACCCTCTCATCCATGTAGTCATTCAGAGCATGTAAGGCTTTAGGACTAACTATAAGGATTTGATCTGTCCTAAATGAGACAGAAAGATTTGCAGAATCTGGAGATGTGATACCTTGAACTTTGACAATGTCAGTCTAGTTTCTTACAGACTAAACTCCCTACAAGAATCAGGAAAGTTGGAAAAGGCACATATGCATGTGCACGCGCACACACACACACATACACAAATATATATGGTCCGTTTAAAGGCGTTAATTTTGGAGGCAACAAGGATTTGAAGTTATGATCTCAAGGAGAAGGAAAGTTATTGAGAATGAACCAACACTGAAGTACTGGACCTAACAAGGAACAGGAACCTGTTCTAACCTTTTAGTTAGAACTACCAACTACAGGTGAGCCAGAAATTGACCAGCCGTCACAAAAGCTTAAGATAAACTTTGAATCCATTAAATCCTGAATGAATTAAGGTGATCTTCCTGATACCCTAAGGACCTATCAGAAGTAGAACTTGTCTGGAGAGAAATATTTTCTAGTGAGAGTAGGGGTTGGCAATAGTTTAGAATATTGTAGGCTCATGGTCATTAGGTTTGTACAGCAACTACTCAACTCTGCTATTGTATCACAAAAAAAGCAGCCACAGATAACACATGAATATTTTAAGTGTAATTATATTCTATTAAAAACTTTGTATGGGCCCTTAGGTTTGAATTTTATGTAAGTTTCATGTGTTGCTAAATATTATTATTCTTTAGATAATTTTTCAACCATTTAAAAATAATACATTTTTAGCTCAAGGCCAGACAAAAACAAGTGGGCAGGCCAGATTTGGCCTATGGGTGTGGTTTGTAGTTGACCGAGTTAGAGTCACAAATTATCCCTATAATTTTTCATAAACAATGTTCAGAATTCTATCAAAACTTAACTGGTGCCTACAATTAAGTAGGAGCTCATGATTTAAGGAAAAAAAAATAAAGATAATACTTTTCACAGAAGATCTATCATATATTAGAATTTTCAGACAGACTTTAAAATACGATTAAGATACTTAATAGCTTAGATAAAAGGAAAAATTTATCAGAGAATGGAGACAAGAAAGTATCAAGTTAAAATTCTAGAACTTAAAAATACAATAACTGAAATTAAACACCTAACAGATGGTAAATGGTTTTAGCAGATCAGACACAGCTTATGACAAGATTAGTTAAAATGAAAAAAAAATAGAGGTATAGGTATTAATATGGATGACTCTCACAATGTTGAGGAAAAAAAAATAAACACTGTGCAACATAATTTTAAAACATACAAAATAATATTACTTAGGTATATAGGCATATATAATGTGAGTAAATTATGAAAATACCAAAATTTAGGATATTTTCATTGAAGGCAGAGGAAGGGGCACATAAGCACTAACAATATTGTTAACACTTTAATCCCAGCTACTTTGGAGGTGAGGCAGGAGGATCTCAAGTTCAAGGCCAATTTACCAAGACCCTGCCTTAAAATACAATTTTTTAAAAGTGCTGAAGATGTAGCTCAGTGATAAAGCATTTGCTATCATGCACGAGGTCCTGGAATTCAACCCAAAATACCACAAGAAAAATAGATAAATGAGTAAAACCATTATTGAGGTCTGTGGTATCAAAGACCTCAAATGTAAAAATATAACATGATTTAATATACCACTCAACAAGTAACTGTTTTATTTCAACCACGGGAGTATATCACTCTTACTTTGATAATACAAGGATAGACTGAAAGTTTTAGAGAAAAGCTAGATTATATATTTAAGTGCCATATGTACCCTACAGCACTCTTAGAATGGAAGAGAAGGGAGAAATCCTAGAAAACGTGGCAAAAATTGACAGAATTCTGAGTCAGTGATTCAGGTTTCTTTTATTCACACTGCCTTTCTTACCTGTTTATGATCTCAGCAGGGTCTCTTAGATTCTGTGGTAATGTATCTTTTTGCTATTTAGAATGTATATGACATGAGAATACTGCATGGAGGTATGATCAGCAGCTACTTTGTGAAGAATTTTACATTATCAAAGACAAATGAAAAACTTGAATGTTATTCTCACCATTTGGTAAAAAATACTGTTCAATATCTATAAGGACTGCAAAATAGTGTCATCACCACTTTTCAGTGCTATGGGTTTCTCCAGGAGCAACATAAGGAAGGAAAAAGGAGGAATGTTTAAAGGCATTATAATAATAGAGTCTGATTCAAATGTATCAGATAATAGGTGCTGAATATTTAAAACTCTTTTTATAATCATCATTATTATTTCTGTACCATATGTATCTGGTTATAGGTAGCTGATATTTTGGGTTGCTGTTGGCGTTCACTTAGCATTTATGGGTAGAGAACATAGGTCAAACTTTCAGCTGAATATCTGGGTACAGGAATGGCAGTGTAACCCCTTAGAGAAAACAGGAAAGTAAACTAAAATTCTGAATATTGAACAATGAGATAACTAGCTCCTTGCTAGTTATCTTGTCTCCAAAATCTCAGACAATTCAGCTTCCTCCACCTGAGATAGAAAGCTAGAAGATTCCTACCTGGAAAAACTGATCCGTCAAAGAAAAACCAGAAAATGATGGTGGGGTGAGAAGATGGCCCATGAAAATGTTTTGTTGATCCTTTACATTACAATGAAGCCCACCACTGAAAAGTCCTACCTGTGTACAGAGACCTTCCAATCATCTTCCTCTGTTCCCCTCTAATATAAAGGATCCTCAGACAAATAAGGCATTCTAACATGAAAGATTATGAACAAATCATATAGAAAAAAGGAACTTCAGGGAAATGGTGTTAATACAGGGATCAAAGAAAATTTCAAAAGAACCAAAAACCCTAAATATCCTTATAATAACAAAAACACATTGAACTCTCAAACAAGAACAAGGTGCTACATAAAAGACTTAGATATCTAACCATACAAGAGAAAAAAAAAAGGGAAGTCCCAATAGATCAGTTCTATGATTATAATGGTGCTACTTTCGCCTACAATGTAATCAGTCCAGACTGGAGAATGAAGGGCTCAGGAAAAATATTTCCACATGAGTGATTTTGGGGAATAAAAGAATAGTAACAAATGGTTCTGGGATAAATTAACAGAAAGATAAAGTAAAGCAAACGTATTATAACCGAGTTAATCAGTCACTAGTTCTAGAAAGACAAAATATTTTAAAAGAAATTTAATCAGAGTAATATAAATGACATTATCTAAGTATGCCTAATATATATTAAATATGAATTTACCAAAAATTGTATAATTACATAATAGGAGAAGTCCCAGTACAGGAACAGGTTGGAAAAGGGGAAGAACAAAGGGAGATGGATGAGAAAGCAAAATCTTCATCTTCTGTAGCAGGAAGTTAATAGATAATATTTACAATTGAAAAAAAACTGAATTAAAAAAAAAAAGAGAAGGCTAAGCAGAGGAGGCCATAAAGTATCTGAAGCTCAGACACCCAGGTTTTAAAAACAAGAACCTAAGCTCCGGCATTTACATCTTTAACCCTCCTGTTTCTGAATCTCCTCATTTCTAAAGTAAAACTGCTCTGAGAATTGACTTAATAAACAGAGGGAATACAATATACTTGGCACACAGTAACTACAACAATGCAATATCAAATGCCTGTCACTTAGAAATATCAAAATAAATAGCAGAGAAGTTAAAGTGTGGAGAGTAGGAATGAAATGTGGGTGAAATGGGACAGGAAATTAACATTTTCCTTATATGGTAAAGAAACTGTCCAATGCAACTGTCCAAATCATTATGTGATTTTATGAATATGTAATTTAAAATTTTTTATATTAAAAAATTAAAGAAACATTGAAATTAATTTTTAAAATGTTTTATTTAATCCTATGTATCCAAAATATTATCATTTAAAATGTAATCTTTATAAAACAAATTACTGAAATTTTACATTCTTCTGTTTTGTACTAAATACTTGAAATATAACATGTATTTTTTACATTTACAGCACAT